GCTAGAAAAGTCTCCTCTCTCCTTGCACTTCTCTCATTTTCTCATTCTTCCACCAAAGATCAAACATATCTTCTTTCTCACTTCCTCTCTCTAAAAATTCGAGATTCAAGGCTATACTCCAAACTTTTCTTCTACTTTTGGTAAGTATTAACATCCTCCTTGTGATTTTTACACATCATTCTACTAAAATCGTTGATTTCTTACAAAAATATCGTACTATTTGTTGCTAGCTCCTCAATTCTTCAAGCACCTCCCAAGTGTTCTTGAGTTGAACACTTCTTTTCTCCATCATAAATCTTCTGAAATAAGTCAAGGTGAGTTCATACCCATACATTTTCATGTTTTCTCAAGTTTTCAGGGGGGGGGGGGGGAACACAAGTTAAAACACCAAGAACATAACTAAACTTTTCTAACAGTCTTCATCAGAAAAGTTCAACTCCATTCACGGACTGTTTTGGGCAACTTAAACATTTTTGTATTCAAAACTGTACAAGTTTCAAGTAGTTAAAGTTCTTCGCTTTAAAATGACTACTTGCACATCTCCATACGATTTTTCTACAGTTTATGGTGATTTTTACAAAATTGTCTATCATTTCAAACACCAATCCGGACCAGTCTGTGATTATGGGCTTTTCACCCAAGTTGGAGGTCATTAAAAATCATGATAAGAATTATGAATAAACTAGACACATTTTGGGAACTCCCAGAATTTACGGATTTAGTTTTCGACTTCGTATGATTTTTCTATGACTTTTCTAAAACAACGCAGAAAGGTTAAATTTAGTTAACAGCATATAAATTTCATAACACTTTGTATTATGTTGAGCAAAGCGTAATACCATAAGTTCTAATTATTGAATATGTTTCCTTGTTAGTTTATCATCATAAACTGACACTTAGTCATTCATGATAAGATTATTCATTCATTTAGAACACATATATTAAGCTATAATAAGCATAGTTTAATGGATTCATAACAATAATGCTTTTTCAGAAAAGAGTTCTTACATATTACAAACGTTTTGGATAAACTATAATAGGTATAGTTTATGATTCATCACATAACACACTCGTACAAAAAGGTTACATTCATACAAAAACGTTTTACACTCATGCACACCACACGTAAACTTGTTAACTTAAATTGTGAGACAATCTCTTTCCGTACGTCCGAGTGCGGGATCTAATTCCTGGTAGTTATAATCAGAGTCTCCTGGGGGGAGAACGTGATAGTTGTGTATAGATCTATATTGGGTTTGACACCCCACACCTTGCTGCTAGCTACAGTGAGACCTGCAGGTCTACGGGTGACAAATGTCATTTCAGTTTCGCGACGCTTGAGAAACGTCGTGGCAGGTTCATTCAATCATAGTATGTTTATAGTGACTCACATAGGGAGATAACAATACATAAAGTTTACGGGATTTTTATAAAACCTAAATGGGTTTTATGTCGATTTACAATCATTTTTTATGTCAATAAGTACAGATATTACTGTACACTTTCGGTTTTGGTATTTATGACTACACATCATTTGAAAACACATTTATATCTTTAAGTATGGTCAATACTTGTTATTTCTCGGTCCTGGGATTTAGGACTACATATAAATAAAGTATTAACAAACATAATAATTTACAGGAATTTCATTTAATTCAAGCTCATTTATGTTGATTTAAACACATATCATTTTCTATTAGTAAGAGAGGTTACTTATACATTTTAGTCTTCGGTTATAAGACTACATTGCACAGATTATAAAGAAAATATCGGATTTTCTGGATACATATTCTAACGCTTTTACAAGGAAAACGGTTTACTTCTCTAACGAAATCTCTTATGAACTCGCCAACCTTTGTGTTGACACTTTTTCAAAACTACTTGTATTCTCAGGAATTCAGTGAAACAGGAAATCAACAACGTTTTGAGGATGAGACGATAATTCGTCAAACAATTCATTTTGTATCATAATGTAATTAATGTGAATCATGTAAACATATACTTCGATGTAACTTTTTCAATTACATTTGTGATGATTGTATTTACTTTGAGCACTATTATACTCGTTGTTGTGATACTCTACATGAAGTCCTCCACCGCCAGACGTTTCTGCCATCCTTGGTTTGGGGGTATGACAATATATATATATATATATATATATATATATATATATATATATATATATATATATATATATATATATATATATATATATATATATATATATATATAGCCGTTTCCAACAGTTTGCCAACGATTCAAATTGTCCAACGTTCCAAATTTTGAAATTTCACAGTCGGTATTATATCACGCAGTAAATATGAAGTCGAGGGTCGGTGTTTACCGGCGGTGAAGCCTTCCACGTTGGATACCGACGATAAGCTAATCACGACACCCCATAGCCTTATGATTATTAATACGTATTAATATAATTGTATTTGTATAATAAAAATATCATCATAATAACTAATGATTGAACTTTAAAAAATTTATAGGAGATATATGAAGTTTGCATTTTACTTCCTTGAAACTAATATTTATTTTAATGTCATGAAACTAGTATTTTACATTGATTGGCCAAAAAATAATAAAATATGCGGTAAATAAATAATTTTAAATATTCTCACAACAAAAGTAATTATGATTCTTGTAGTCTATTTTAGTGACCAGTTTTTAGTGACGACCTAAAATGTGGTCACTAATAACATCATTTAGTCACCGTATAATTAGTTGTCACTAAATTTTTGGTGATACTACAAATTTAATGACCACTATCATGATGGAGGTCACTCACCTGTCACTAAAGTGTAGAATAAAGTTTGAATAATTACTGATAGCAAGTATTAGTGACCAAAAATAATGGTCACTATATTGGAGACTTAGTGACGAAAAACAATGGTCACTGGATTGGAGGGTTAATGATGTAAAATAGTAGCATTAGAGACTTAGTGACCAAAAATAGTGGTCACTAAATTGGCGACTCAGTGAGCAAAAATAGCAGTCACTGGATTAAAAACTTAGTGACCAAACATAGTGGTCATTAGCTATTTATATATTTCTGAGCTGAAAACTTAGTGACCATTACGTATTTACGCTATGTAGACCTCCCCGCGCTTTCCTCTATTCACAATCTGCATCGAACACCGCCACCATCGTTACCTCGCCTTCCATCTTCCGTCAGCGCTACTACCGCATAGAATCACCACTTTCTCCTTTGTTCACTACAGTACCGTGCTCCAAAGTTTGAAGCCCAAGTTTTCCCAATTGAAGCTTCTCTTAGGTAATCACTTCCCCAAAATTTGATTAAGGTGTGATTAGGGCTCGAAAAACCTCAATTGGAGCTTAATTCCTCGCATTTGATTCTGTGTTCATCATTACTAAATGTCGAAAGGTAATTTTATCCTTTCCTCAATGTCACTTCTCCTATTCCTCGTTGATTGCTTAGGGACGTCATCCTCCTTTACCTACTTTTCCGGTTCTCAACTCCATTCTGATTCGTGCTCACAATCACACACTTACACAAGCATGTATGAACACACACAATCGAAAACACATAGAAATACGTAATCACTTATGAAAGGAGTCGATTTCTTTAACTTTGTTGTACGTTTCCAATTGAGGTTGTCGTGGTGGTGTTTGAGTATCCAACAACTTAGAAGGTCTAAGAAATGTGATGCATCTAGAGTCTAGAGGTGGAGGAACAAAATGCAGATTGTATAGATGCTGAGAGAGTAATGAATTGGGTTCTTGAAGAAACTCGAGAAACAAATCTTTGTTTTAACTTAAAACTTCCAATGCATCTTGAAACTGTTTGGAGTGGAGAAGTTTTTCATCAGTAGATAAACGTTTGGCTTCCATGAACTTTTCCCTGATAAGATCCATCTTACTCTAACTGTGTTTTTCACTACATCTCTCTTTGTAATGTTGCTGCCATATTTTAAAAACATCTTTGGAATATTCTTCAGGTTCAGGACACTTTGTGATCTCATGTTTTGATTGTGTGTCCAAGGATACAGATTGGCTCCATGAATGTATTGAATGGCTCCTGCATGAAGTTGAAACAGGTTGTTGATGCTACTGAGGGAGGGCATCCAACCCTATTATCTTGGCAACCAAATTAGATGGACTTTGCTTACATTCATCTTCTTTGGACATTTCTTGTGCAATTATCATCTTTATGGGTGTTCCACTTCCATCATGACGTGGCTTGTCTATAAGGAGACTGCTCCCTCCCAAACCAGTGTTTAAATCAAACAGGTTCACCATTCTTCCCAAGCATCCTGAAATATGTTTCTCAGGATTTAAGTTTTTCCATTCTGAATTTGGCTCATTTTTATACCTGTGAATGGTGCATTTCATAGTTAGTAGTAATCATGATCATTGTCTTACAACACAACATTGGGTTTTTGAAGAGATATCCATAGGAAGGCATCTTAATATATTGAAACCCAACACAGAGGAATTAAAAAGAGGCACACAAATAGACGAATACAAATCTCTGTAGGTAGGAAAAATTAAAATGTATATTAAACACCAATCCGTAGTGGCATCTAGATCCATCTAATCATTTGACATCTATGGGTTTATGTATTTTATTATTTGAATTCTGTTTATTGATTGTGAATAATCAAAATTTAGGTCTCCGTGTTTTAATCTTGATGTTTCTATGATCGGATTAATCAATCAGTGTTCAGTGTTGTATTCCAAAAATTAGATCAAACTGTCGATGTAAATCTAAATCATAAAATTATCGTGTATAAAAGTCACTCTCATGGTCTTGTTCTCTCTCTGGAAACAGTTTTCAATTTTTGTTTCTTTGATTGATCAGTCAATCTGCAAATCGCTTAATTTATGCTCCTCGGGCAGTTAAATGTTAAACCCGTATTTTAGACTAAAAAGGTGCAAAATCTATATTTCTTAAACTTTAACTCAACCTTTTCAAGTGCCCAATCTTAAACTTTTTCTTTGAAGTAATCTCTTTGCATGTTTCTTAGTTGAATATGAGAGTTGCACAAAAAAGTAAAGGCATGGAGGAGGCAACACTTGAGATTGGAAACTGCACAATTATTCCAATTATTATTATGGTAAGATACCTGGATTTTTCTTTAAGTACGATTATTATTATTATTATTATTATTATTATTATTATTATTATTATTATTATTATTATTATTATTATTATTATTATTATTATTATTATTATTATATGCCTTAGATGATGTCTCAACTTTCTAATGTTTCTACAGAATATAGAACTGTCTCTGGAATGAACATGGAAACTGCACAATTATTCCAACGTGATTTTGAGGAAAAAGGATCAATGGAGAGAGTGACTCTTTTTTTGAACCTGGTAAGTAACTATTTGTTAATTTGTAATTACAAGATGATATTGATTTTTTTAATTGATTTGCATTTACATTTACAGGCCAATGATCCTACGATTGAGCGTATCATTACTACCTGTATTGCTCTTACCACAACCGAATATTTGGCATTTGAATGCGGGAAACACGTTCGTGTTATCTTAACTGACATGAGTTCCTATGTTGATGCCCTTCGAGACGTATTATTTTTGCAAATATGCATTTTCATTTAGGTGTTATGAAAGCATTTAATGACCATTATACCCTTGTTATGTCTGTCAATTGTAGGTCTCTACCGCTAGAGAGGAAGTACCTGGTAGGCAAGGGTATCATGGGTATATGTATATGGATTTGGAAACAATATACGAGTGTGTTGGACCTATTGAAGGCAGAAAAGGCTCCATCACTCAAATCCTAATTCTGACTATGCCCAATGATGGTCCTAATTCCTAATTTCTTCTTCTTATTCTTATTTTGACCTTTTTAGCCTTGTTTGTTTGTTTTTCACTTCTCAATGCTTTCTTTAAACTTTTTGGTCATCATTAGATCTTACGGGTTACATTACTAAGGGACATATATACATTGACCGACAGCTCCGTAACAGACAGGTCGGTGAGATTCTAAACTTAACTTTCTGTTCCTGCACTTGCTTTTTAAGATGAAAAATTTACTTCTATGATGAAAAAGATGATCTGCACTGAGTTACGGCTGCAACGAGAGCTACTATACAGAATTACAAACATCTGTCAAGAATCTTGTAGATGTGGTCAGCCTCTTGACTCTTCTACTTTATATTATTATTATTATTGTTTAAATGTTTCAATTTATTTTGGAATTTTTTGCAAAAGATATCAAAGCTTTGATTCACAGTTTGGTGATTACCCAATCTTTTTCTATCATGTGGAACATAAATTATTTCAGTTTTGGTTTTTTTGAAGCTTGATTTTTTTTTGAGTTGATTTTGAGTTGAGAAAAGAAGGCTATGGAATGATACAGGTATTTTTTGGTACGATGTAATTGAAAAAAGAATGAAATGGTATCTGATTCTCTTCTATTTCAATTTACCAATTCTACCACAACATTGTAAATCCTAGAAATAGCTACATACTTCCACTATATGTGTATTATAGCAATTGAATTTGCTTAGATGTGAGTCATTTAAAAAACATTTGATGTTGTAGATGAGGTATTTTTAATTTTTAGTATTATTATGATATTATCACAATCTATATAACTCATAGGATTTTTTTTCAGTTTGCGTTTATATCTTGAATTTTATCTATTTGGTAGGCCCTTCAAGCTCTTTCCATACAATATGGGGCACTCCAATCAATTCACAGTTACTGGAAAGAAAAGGTATCTCATTTTTTAATAATGAGTACTCTTTGTTTTATGCTTTTTAATTTTTGCTTACAAAGTTGTTCCTTTCTTATCAGCGTGAAAGATGGCTTAAACCCATTCTACGCCGCCTCCAGGTTAATTTCCTCTTTCAAATGACCATTTTGCCCCTGAATGGTAAAAATAATTTTTTTTCCTTTTTGTTGTTATTACAACCACCTCCTCGAGTTAATGACACCAAACCATATAATGTATTTAGACCAAGGGAGAAAGCTCAAAGCCTTCATACAAGAAGGGTAAGTCTGTTAATTCTTCATATTTTTACATAATCTAAGGTACTAAAAAATGTTTATATATTTTCAGATGCAAAGAAGAGGAAATAATTTTCAATCATTTGAAAAGCTTCGCCAGGTGCTTTTTGACCCATATATGTTCTCATCCTACTTCCTAATCTTACATTTTATTTGTCAATCAAGAGAGACAAAATCTTGATCAAGCCAAAAACTTACTAGAAGCTTTAATCAAGGTACCATCACACACACACACATTTCATTTTATTTTTAATTTTTATTTTGGTAGTGATAATGACTAGATGAAGAATGTGTGAAACAGAGAGAGGAGAAAAAAAAAAGATGTTTTACCTTTTGAGAATCATCCCTTTCAACTTTCATCTTTCACCTCTGTGTGTGGTTGGTTGAATACAAGTTTACCCTTGGAAGCAATTGAATTTACTTTTAATCTACATTGATCTTTATATGTTTGTTTTTAGAAATATTGGATAAAATATATATGGATTTTGTTTTTTAAAAATGACATTTAATTTTCATATTATAATTGTGAAGATTTATTTGGTTATTGTTTGTATTGTAAAGTTTTATAGGATTGATTTTTCTTTTGTCTAATTGGATATTGTTATATTTCATATTAGAAATGACATTTGATATTTCAATAATTTCTTAATTATTGACCCCCTTTTTGTATCTAATATGATAAATCAATGACGACCTATTATAGTCACTAATTAGATAGACCAGTGACCACTTTCTATGGTCACTAATCGGATAAAACAGTAATGACTTTTATTGGTCACTCACTAAATTGGTTTTGTGACGGACCTATAGTGACGAAAAGTGACGACTGGAATTTTGGCCACTAAATCATTTAGTGACAATTCATTCTATTGTTAGTGACCATTTGTTTTGGTCACTAATTGGCATTTTTTTTGTAGTGACATTTGTAAAGCAAATTGGGGGATGGGCTGTTGATTGCCAATGAGTTATGCTCTTGGGAAAAGAAGACAAGAAACCAAATCCTACTCTTTAAAGTCGATTGATAAGGCATTTGACTCAATCAACCGGGGTTATCTTGAATCCATCATAACATAAAATGGGTTATGGTGTCAAGTGGAGGAGGTGGATCATGGGATGTCTCACATCGTCTAGGGCCTCCGTTCTAATTAACGGGTCACCCACCAAAGAATTTGTCATGGAAAAAGGGGTTAGACATGGGGATCCACTCTCTCCATTCCTGTTCATAATTGCAATGGAAGGATTGAATGTGGCTATGAACGAGGCTTGTGCAAAAGGTTTATTTAAAGGCGTAAAGATACCCAATAGGGACACTCTAATTCTCCTTTATTTTACGCAGATGGTGTCTTTTTCTTAGGAGAATTGTGTAAGGATAATATAAAGAATCTTTCTAGAATTCTCACATGCTTCCATGTCTTATCCGACCTCAAAGTAAATTTTCGAAGTCACGGGTGTTCGGTGTTGGGGCAAATTGGCAAGAAGTTGTTAGATGGGCAGTCCCACTAGGTTGTGAACCGGTTGTGGTCCCGTTTAATTACCTTAGAGTACCGATGGGTGCGAATATGAAACTTAAAATTTTTTGGAAACCGGTGATTGAAAGGTTCCAGTCCAAACTATCAATGTGGAAGGAGAAATCCTTATACTTTTGAGGGAGACTTACTTTACTAAAGGCGGTGTTGGGGAATCTTCCCACATTTTATTTTTCTCTTTTTATAGCCCCAATTGGGGTAATTGAGTATTTAGAATGTATCTGGCGAATGTTTCTGTGGGGAGGGGCGATGACAAGCGTAAAGTTCATTGGGTATCATGGGAAAAAATTGTATCTCCCAAGGAGATGGGGGGACTCAGGGTGGGATCATTAAGAGCGCTCAATATTTCTCTTATATCTAAATGGTGGTGGCGCCTTCGAATGGACCCCGCATCCCTGTGGGCCCAAGTCGTCAATGGAATCCATAACATCCGTAATAAACCTGAAAACCGTTTATCCACAAAATGTATTAATGGTGTTTGGAATAATATTGCAGGTATTGCCGATGACTTGAAGGAGAAAGGGATAGAGTTGAGCAAGGTGATCGTTAAAAAAAATTGGGAAGGGTAATACCACAGTATTCTGGCAGGATTGATGGGTTGGATCGGAGACTCTTAAGACAATGTTCCCAGAATTATATATGTGACAACCCGAAATTTCTATTTGTACAAACCCTACAGTCAAGCACTTCAATAAAAAGTTAGATTCATTTATGTTAACTTTCAACTCCGTTTAGATTCTGTTCGGGTGTTTTAATATTAATCCTTCAAAAGAAGTACCTTCTAGGGTTTTTGAGTAACAATCAAGCATTTAACACCCTAATAGGGTTTTCACGGCTAAACTTTAGGAGTTTGGGCCGTAAACTCCCTTATGGCTGTGAATTCATGCTTAAAGCATGAGTTTACTCCTTTCCTCCTTCATTTCTCTCTCAAGTATCATAATACCTTCTTTCCAATCTTCCTAAAAATGTAAGTATTCTTCTCTTGATTTGTTGTTACAACTCTTCGTCTAGTAGTTATACATGATTTCATCCATGAAATCCTTTCATTTTGATAGATCCTTAAGTGTTCTTCCTTTCATCAAGAACACACACTAGTGTTCTTGGACCTTTAACACCCTTACAAGCTTCCTATTAGTAAGTACACTCCTCTTAACTAGTTATACATAGATTACTTGTTAAACAATTGAAAAACACCAAGAATGCCCAAGAACACATGGGTTTACTGTCACACCCCAAAACCGGAATGGCGGAAACGTTCAGGGGTGGAGGACGTCATGTCAAGTATCACGAGATATGTATATAGTAAGCAAGTAATGAACAACCATTTCATTTAGAAAGAAATTATTTACAATGTGTGTGTTCACAAAACATAGAAGTCAAACAAATAACAAAACAAGACTTGAAGCTGCAATGCTCCATCTTCTGAATCCCCAGCACGAGTACCTGTCTGATAGTCTTCTGAGAACACAAGTTATTTGAAAGAGTTGATCAGCAATTAAGCTGGAGAGTTCATAAGATTTTAGTGATGTGACTAAGCTGTAAAGCATTGTGGAAAATGTATATGTAAGAGTGATGTAAGCTGTAAGTTCTGTTTAGAAAAGTTCGCCTGTTCCTCTAGAAAATCATATATTTCCTACTTGAATGAAAGTGAAGTAAAATGACACTACAATCCTTTCTATGGGTACTAAGTGGGTACAAATTATATATACTCGAAGTAAACAAACAATCGATTATGCGCATCTACCCCAAGCTCACAACCCAACGGGGAACATAAAGTAAGGCAGATAACACACATTTCATTGGTTGTTAGATCGTTGTCATATATAACCTTGCTGTATTCACTTGTTACTCATGGAGTTATTTGTAATGGTTCCTTTATATCTAAAGAAAAGTTCTTTAAGAAAACATATATTTATTATAGTAAAATAATGACTACGGTGACTACTTTTATAATAGCTTTGTTTATACTGCTATATATAATCTGATACCGGGTAGAAAGTTAATTGAGTGAATCTGCCCTACACCCACAATCTAACGGGAACAGAAAGTAAGGGAGAAAACACACCGTTAACTGTCTATTGGGTATTAGTTTTATATATAAATATGGTGTATAAACTAAGGTGTTATAGAGTTATTCACCTAAAGTCTCTAAAATTGTACTGGCTTAATAAAATGGATTAAGCCCTTATATGGGAAATCTCTAGTTTTGTAAACCAAAAGTATTAACTTTGAAAAGTAAGTTTTGTAGTAGAAAAGTTGTGCGTTGACTCTGTGTCCT